TAACCTGTGTTTCAAACTGTCAGATATATGAAGGATGCCAACAACATCCAAGTAAATATTACCCTGACTCTTTTCAATTCACACTCACTCATTATGTGTAGTGTCTGAAAACTTCCTTATATCTGAGTATTTCATACTGAATTATAATACAAAATTCTTTTCCCCATTTAGGTTACTGTTACAGTATCATGACATTAATCTTTCAAAATAAAAAGTGGGCTATTTATCCAGCTTGCTTTGAGAAAGCAGAGAAATGCTCTACAATGTCTGAGTTAGTCAACCTTCTGTCATGATGACAAAGTACCAAAGAAACAGTTGGGGTTGGGGCTGAACCAGGGGTAGGACATGGGTTCAGCATTCATGAGGCCTTCTGTCTAATCCCAAACACAGAAGATGGAGGACAGGTATTTGGCTCATGGCTATGGTTTTCCATGTTCATGGTTGGTTAGCCGTGCTGTTTGGGGGCCTGTGGTGGGAAACTTACCTTTTAGCGTTTGTTTTAGATCCACATCCATGACTGGACTATGCTGCCCTGACATGAAGTTTCCTCTCTTTCTCTCTATACTCTCAAAAGTGGTGCCAGAGCCATGTGTGGCTACTGAGCACCTGGAATGTGGCCCGTGGGGTTGGGTTGCCAAAGAAATGGATTTGTAACTTTGCTTGTGGGTGGGAGACCAGGAAGAGATGGGAACCCAATAATTCCACCCCCAGGAGCATAGCCCAAATTACTTTATCCATAGTGCCCTACCTCCTAAAAGGCTACATCACCTCCCAGTTAACAGCAAGCTGGCTCCAAGTCTTCAACACATGGGCCTCTAGGGAACATTCCAGATATACACTAGCACTATTGTGGCTTCAGACTGTTAGAGTCGGGATACTCTGCTCTCCGTGCAAAGGAAGCCTGCCTGGGAAGAGCCCTGCTCTAACGATGCCCCAAACTACTTGTTACTAGTCATTGAGCATTTGCCTACCTCCAGACTCTCCCAAGGCCCAAGCCCTGTTTGCCACATGTATGGAGTGTCTGATATTATTACCATTTTCCTTTAAGTCGACTCCCTCCTTTTACTTTTATTTTCTCCGTCTTTGCAGGGCTGGTATAGAACCCAGATGCTCACACATACTAGACAAAATCTACCCCTGGCCTACACCTCCAACACAGCTTAAATACTTTTTAAGGAAGTCATATCACTATTATAAATTTTAAAAGATAATGAAATATATAAAACTAATGGGCTCACTATTTTTAAGAGACATTGAAGTAAATGCTTAGCTGGATATACAGTCTCTCTGTTCATCTAGGTGTCCCCTAAACTCAGCCCAAACATCAGTGAAGGCAGGCACGCCATTACTTCATTCCATCGTCATTGGACCCCCAGTGTCCAACCTAGAGTAGAGCCCCATCAACGTTCACTGGTGAACAAGTCAGGAAATGAAATGAGGCAGCTCAGAGCGGGTGAGGGAGCAGTAGAGGTCACACAGCAAAGCCATGGTCTCTCCCGCAGGGTAGTGGCAGCTTCTGAGGCCTCTTGGCATCACAGAACCGGGATGGAAGGGAGAAAAATGCAACATCTGGCTCCTGTCAGACTGTTTCAGGCCCTGGGCTGGCAGCCACATGTGGCGATGGACTGCGGCATCGTGGACTGCAACATGGAAGCTATCAGAGGCTCGGTGGCTCTCCAGGAGGGTGTGGATGTGACCAGCTGGAGGGAACACCCGGCCATACAGAAGAACTGGATCTGAGGAAGAGTGGTAGTCACCAGAGTTCATTTCCCCAGGACCATCAAGCAGCCAGGGAGGCTCCAGCAAGGCCTTCCTGGCCACCAACATCGTGACATCTCCCAGAAACACCCTCACTCTACTGAGGATCCCAGCAGAGAATGGTACCCGGTGAAGTCAGGGTCCCCCTGGAGAACACAGCCAGTGTGTCTCCTGGTGACTTAACAAGTGTGTCTGCAGCTGTGTTGAGCATGGAGTACTCACTCACATCCCAGTTAGCCGACAAGAGTCACACGGGACCCTCAGAAAACGGTCTGCCTCTGTGGCCAACCTGAGGTTCTTGGGAAATTCAGAAGTTTTTTCCTAACCTTACTCCCTCACCATGACCCTGCCTCGGGTCATGCCTCAAGTCCATGTATGTGACCTGTAGTCCCCAAAGCTGACAATGGCTATACTGTGTCACTCCAGGCCTTCTTTCCCTTTGGTAAAGCCTAGGGGGCAGCCTGGAGAAGGGTCTGGAGAAATTCAAGAGTCCTCTGTTTTGAGGTAAGCAGATTGCTCTGATTCTCTGTGTCTCCACTTCCTTCCCTGTGTGATGGGGACAATGACATTACGTGTTGCTATGGTTGAAATGTGAAATGTTTGGACACTTAGCTCTGAGATTTCTGGGGAGAGTATGGAACTGGAAGGGGATGAAGCTTAGTGGAAGAAGTTGTTGGGGGCAGGGGTAGCTAGTTTTATGTCAACTTGACACAAGCTAGACTCATTTGGAAAGAGGGAGCCTCAACTGGGAAAATGTTCTTAGGAGTTTTGCCTGTTACAAGCCTGTGCTGCATTTTCTTATTTAGTGATTAATGTGGGAGGACACAACCCACTGTGTGTGGTGCCACCTCTGGGCATGGTCCTGGGTGGTATAAGCAGGCTGAGCTCCATGAGGGGCAAGCCAGTAAGCAGCCTCTGCATCAGCTTCTGCCTCCAGGTTCCTGCCTTGTGCTCCTGCCCTGACATTCCTGGATGGCGGGCTACAAGCTATGAGATGAAATAAACATTTTCCTCCCCAAGTTGCTTTTGGTCAGTGTTTTATCACAGCAGTAGAAACCCTGACTAGCGCCGGGTGTTGGTGGCACACACCTTCAATCCCAGCACCCGGGAGGCAGAGGCAGGCGGATCTCTGTGAGTTCGAGACCAGCCTGGTCTACAAGAGCTAGTTCCAGGACAGCCTCCAAAGCCACAGAGAAACCCTGTCTTGAAAAAAAGAAAGAAAGAAAGAAAGAAAGGAAGGAAGGAAGGAAGGAAGGAAGGAAGGAAGGAAGGAAGGAAGAAAGAAACCCTGACTAGGACAGCAAGAGTTGCTGGGCAGTGGTGGTGCACACCTTTAATCACAGCACTTGGGAGGCAGAGACTGGGGGATCTCTGTGAGTTTGAGGCCAGCCTGGTCTACAGAGTGAGTCCCAGGACAGAAATGATTACACAGAGAAACCCTGTCTCAAAAAATAAAAAAAAATTAAAAATTAAAAAAAAAAAAAACAGCAAGACTTCTGGGGTGTAGCCCAGCCCCATTCTAGTCCCAGACTATTTCCTGGTCCACAAGACACAAGACGCAGTTGCCTGGAACTCCCACCAACACAGCTGCACGACCACACCCTCCCCTCCAGGATGGACTGTAGCTCCTCAAACCCTGCTCCAAAACGCATCCTTTAAGTTGTTTCTGCTAGATCTTTCTGTCACCGTAACAAGAAAAGAAACAGCCGCAATCTTAGGCTGTGACAGAAATGTTTGAGTGCTGAAGAAGTGGGGGGAGGGGATTTACAGGAGCTGCTGTAAAGCAAGAGCACAGACACTAGCTTAGTAAGTTGCCTGCTCATTAATAAATATGTTCATGCTGGGTGCTGGTGACACACACCTTTAATCCAGCACTCAGGAGGCTGAGGCAGGTGAATCTCTAAGTTCAGGACAGCCTGGTCTACAGAGTTAGTTCCAGAACAGCCAGGGCTACACAGAGAAACCCTGTCTTTAAATAAATAAATAAATAAATAAATAAATAAATAAATAAATAAATAGATTTGTTTCATGTCAGTTTTTTTTCTCTATTATCTGACCTTGTAAACTGCAGGGACATGGAAGACAAATGTTCAAAACATAGGAACTTTGGAGTATCAAGGAGACTGATAGGGGAATAAAGAGGGTTTTTCAAATCCCAGGGAAGGGAGATTCCTCAGTTAAAGGTTTTCATGGCCAAGATATAGAATGTAATTAAAGGTATGTGAAAATCTGGTGGAAAGAAGAAAAGTGTGAATCTAGCCAGGCATGTCTGTAATACCAACATGGGCAACAATAGTGAGACTCTGTCTCTCTTTTTTTTTTTAAAGTGAAACATGTAAACTTTTGAAAATTTCATGTAGAGCTGGGAAGATGGCTCAGCCATGAAACACACTGTCTGCTCTCTCGGGGGAAACAGGCTCAATTCCCAGTTCCTGCATGGTTCTCACAGCCATCTATAACTTCGGTCCCAATGGATCCAACCAACACCCTCTCCTGGCCGCCATGGGTACTAGGTGCACATCGACTGCATAGATATACATGCAGGCAAAACATCCGTATACATAAAATAAATTTTATTTTATGTATACGAATGTATACATATTTTATGTATACGAATGTATACATAAAATATACATCCTGGTTTGGTTCCCAGCAACCACGTGGTGGTTCACAAGCATTTGTAACTCCAGTTCCAGAGGTTCCTATGCCCACTTCTGGCTTCCATGGGCACCAGGCACGCATGTGGTACACAGACATATATCCATAAAATAAAAATAAACCTTTTTTTTAAATGCCAACTGTTAAGTGCAGAATTAGCTGGCTGCGGGACTGGCTAGCTCAGCCTCTGAAGATGTTGGGGCTCGTACCCAACTACTGGGCAGTGGTCTCAGACACTTGCTCATGGTCACAGTATGACTGCTGCAACCCCAACACAGCATCACCACATGACTGTCCAGAATCAGAAAAGGCATTTGCTTTCTCAAGACTCTTGTTATACGGATGGAAACCTGTCTCTTAGTGTCTGCAGATTTTGCCTTGCATCCCATTCTCTAAAATTGGGTTTCGTGTCTGTTCCTTGTTGGCAAAGAAAACTGGAACATATCTTAACATTCTTTCTGGTCTATGGGAGGCTGACTTTGCCAGGACAATGGTGGTAGACCATGGGTGGGTTACCTGTGCAGAGTAAGAAATGGAAGATGATAACCCCTACCTCTTAAAACATCTCTCTCCCCTTCCCACAGATCAGAGAGACCTCAGCTCCTAAACCCCTCACAGACCAGTGTACAGCCAGGAGACAAGAATGGAGATCCTATGACTAGAGGAACCAGAGGTGAGGACACCAATCCAGGGGGAACCCAGCAGCCAGACACCAGCTTAAGGAGCAGAGACACAGATGAAGGTCAGTTCCCATGTGCCCATCCTACTGCCAGACCCATGGTCAATGAGGCCACACCTCATCCCTGCTCTCAAGAGCTGAGCATCAGCGCCACCTTCAGCCTCCAGACAAAACCCCACCCTGCTACTCAGGCTGGCTTCCGGCACCCTGAAAGGCCTATCTTCTGGTGTCTTCACAAGAGCCCGAACCTAGGGTATCCAGGCAGCTCACCTCCACAGTGTGCCAGGGACTGGGTCCCTGTCCCTCACTCTCAGGCTCAGAGCCCTTCCTCCTACCCCTGCCTTCAGCACCAGGACAATGCAGATGAGTGACAGGGGAGGAGTCAAGGGAGGGAAATAAGCTGTCAGTAGTAGAAACATTGTCATCAAAAGTCCTCAAGGTGGTTCTGTGTGGCCCAACCAGACAGTGGAGCCCTGAGAACCCATGAGTGAAGCCAGGAGGAGGCAATAGGTGTCCAGAACCAGGGATCCCTGATGCCTGTGTCAACAGGCTTCCCATGAGGTAAGGTATCGCTTTGGTTTTAAATACTGCTTCAAGCAGGGAAGTCTAAAAGTGTCACACCAGTCAGCACAAACTGCTCAGGCTAAAGGCAAGTATGGGCTCTCAGAAGAGTCTATAGATTTGGAGCCCCCTCTAATGCCCGTCCTCTACCCCATCCTGAGATCACTCACTCTCAGCAGGTGTGCCCTCCCTGGCTTCAGCCCCTTTCCTGGCCCTCAAGCACAGAACTGGAAGATCAGTCTTCATCTGAGTTCATTTTGCACAAACACTGACTCCCACATTGTCTTCTGAGGGTTCCCAGCTCTTCTGGAACCTTCTCTGTGGCTAGAGAGGACCGCCTCTGATCGGCACAACCTGATGGGTGCACAGAGCTAGAGCAGAAAAGGGTCAGGCTCTCTAGGAGACTTTGCTCTGCTCCTGGGGATAAGGGCTCTGGCTGGGCAATAGGACAGGGCAGCTGTCATCACCCACTCCAGTCAGGATGGAGTTCATCAAAGCTGTTGGGGACCATGGGTCACATACTGGAAAACTGGGAGTCTTTCTGTCCTGAACTAACATCCTGAAAGCCCTTATCCAGTTCCCCAATCCAGGTCACATGCTCTGAAATGGAACTGATGCTCAGCCCTGACACCAGCGATGCACCCTCACACGTCACCTGAGGAAACAAGACAGCAGGGTTGTATCTCAGGGATTCCCATGCAATTCCCCAGGGCCCTGGGCCAGTAACGGGAAAAGGACAGTGTTGCCAGCGCCTCCCTTCACACACGTTCCCAAGGAGGGCAGGTGGTCCTCACATTGGGCCTCCGGTCCTAGATAATGCTTCCCCAACAGAGGAAGAGCAGCTGTTCCGCTCCGTGGAAGGTCAGGCCGCCTCTGAGGAAGAAGAGGAAGACAGGTGGCAAGAAAAGTCAAGGCCTCCACAGGCCCATGCCCAGGTACCTCTGGTGCAGCCCTCAGGCTGTGTGAGTAGGTAAGTGGCTGGTTAGCCCTGACCTGGCAGTGGAGACCAAAACCACAGAACTCCCAGGAAGGCAGCTTTGCCTTGCAGGGCCCTTCACACAAGCTTCAACATGAGTAGCTGGCAGTTCTAGGGCACAGCCATACTTGACTCCTGACAGCCTCTCCTGGGAGTCATAGCTCAAACATGGAAACAAGTGCAAACATGGAATGAAGACCCTCAAGAGCATGGCCTGTGGATGAATTAGTTCCCACCAGTCATCACTCCCTTGATTACCGTCCCAAGACCTGATCCATTCCTGTCACTTTTGAGCTATCCATCACTTCCTACAATACAGTTTAAAGCCCCAGCCTGGCCCTCGGCTGGTTCTTTCTCAGATACACATGGGAGTTGCCTTTGTACCATCTTAGAGGATAATAAAAATGAGCTCCATACCCATGGGTATCTCAAATTGCCTGGCTTTTCTGGGCTTCAGTCTCCTTGTCTCGAAGGTGGGCCTGTAACACTGTTTTCGAGGACATGAGGTCAGAATGTCAGATGCCTTCAGGGACAGCATGTGGCTTTCAGGGATGTTGTACCACCCATTCTTCATGTTCACACAAAGCACTTGTTAAGTACCTGCTTGTGTGCCAGGCAAAACTTGAGCCATTGAGAAAATAATCAACAGTTGGCTTCCATGCTGTCCTGGGCCCTCTACTGTAGGGAAGACTTGAAGACAGGGCAGGTGTGAGGAGACCTGGAGACAATTCTGTCAAGCGATGTAGATGATGTGAGAAGGGTCCAGGAAGGAGCAGCAGGCAGAAGCTCGGGCATGCTGGAGGACCTGCGGGGTCCATTGGCTGAGGCAGGCTGAGTGAGGTGGGTGGGAGGGTGTGAGCCAGGTTCAAAGCCAGTGGTCCCTCTGAGAAGCCAAGGAGCCCCAGGAAGATACTGAGCAGACAGGCTCCATGACAACATCTGCTTGCAAAGGCTAGAGCATGGGGACAGCAGGTCCCTGAAGTGCTGGCGTCTCTCCTACAGGTGTGATGAGCGGACAGCTGAGATGCTCAAGACTTCTTTTGGCCACTGTGATGGTGCTGACCACATCTGCACCCTAGAGCTGGAGACCCGAGTCACCGAGCTTGGGGAACAGCTGCAGGCCCTGGGCTGCAGTGGAAAGACGCTGGGAACACCGGAGGAGGTCAGCAGGGCCCTGAGATCCCAGGTCTTACAGCTGGAGGGACTTGCATTCCTACAGCCTACTCACAGAGCTATGAGCAGAGCTCAAGAGGGGTGGTTTCCTCTCATTTCACTTAACGGGAACTTTTGATTGACAGAAACAGAATCCCATCCCAGATTAGCCTGGTTACAAAGCAGAAGCTTACAGGAGCTGAGGGGACAGGGGCATGGGCTGCAGGCACAGCAGTCCAGAGGTGTCTCCTGCTGTGTCTCTCTGAAACCTCAGCTTTGAGTCACAGACTGGAAAATCTAGGGATCATCAAGGACAGAGTTTTAACAATTTAAAGATCTCAGTTGGCTCTATTTGTGATTCTAGAACCAGGCAATATGTCAGCCCATTGAGCAGTGAGTGTCTAATGCACACAGGACTAGCCGTGTTCCTGTGAGGAAGGTCGGGGAGGGGACTGATGGGTAACAGGAAACCTCAGCTTCCTACAGGTCATGTGTTTTGGTAAGGATTAAGGTGGACAAACTATCATTCCAAGCCCAATGGGGAAGTCACCCCTGACTTCTCTAGAGACATATGACAACCAGGTGTCTCTGTCAGTATAGAACTCTGCCCTAGGAATCTCGACCCTGCACTCTGAGCCTCAGGGTGGAAGCTAACCCCTGAGCAGTGAAAAGTCACGAGTCAGAGCAGGGCCTCACAGTATATGCTAGAGCAGGCTGCCTGGCTTCAGTGCCAACTCTAATACCTGTGTGACCTTGTTAGAACATCTCTGTGCTTTGGTCCCCACATTTGTAACAGTGCCACCATGCATGTGTCAAGTGAGTAGATGTGGGCAGTGAGCTCTTGAGAGCTCAGCTCTGACTGCTGTTGTCTGGTGAAGGTCCCCCTGCCTCCTGGATTTTAGGTTGATCTGCTATGTTTCGGGCTGTGTCTCTATTCTCACCCAGTGCTATTCCCTGAGACCCTGATCCTGATACCCAGGATCTTCCCAGAAGAGAGAGGCTGTCCTTGGGGAAGGACCACTGTTAGGTGTGAAGTATGAATGGGCAATCAGAAAGCACCCAAGGAAAGGCACAGCTGTCACTTTCCTAAACCTCAAGGTGACAAAGTGGGAAGGCTCCAGAATGGGCCAGCCTCTAGTCCTGCCTGCAGTGAGTGGAAGCACAGAGTCTTTTGTACTCCTGCCCAAAGCCAGAGGGAATCCTGAGCACCCTGGTACCAAGAAGTGCCTGTCACATGACACACCTGACCCGGAGTTAGCATCTGACATTTCCTCTGTTGTCAACCCTGGAATCCTAGTAGCACTCCTGACCACACTGTTGCAGAAAGGTAGACAGATGCCTAGAACATCCTTACAGGCAGGGCCCCTGGACAAGATGGGGTAGAAACTATCCACTAGCCTGAAGTCAGGACCCCTGGACAAGATGCCATGGGAACTATCCACTAGCCTACAGTGTGTTCCTCTTGTGTAAGCCTGTCGCATGCCACCAACACAGATCCATCAAAAAGAAAAGAAAACAAAAGGTAGAAGAGAAAAGAGAGAATGAGTCGTTAGATTGGAGAACTGTGTGTGTCTGCTCACTGTGCGGTTTGGGGCAGGTGCAGGGAGACACCGTAACCACGCCTCCTAAGGACTGGCTACAGGTGTGCTTAACCACACCTGTTAGGGTGGTCAAGGGGTGTTCAGGATGACGCGTGGGGAGTTCTTAAGTTGCTGCAGACACGCGGGAGCCCCTTCTCTCTGGCCTCCCTAGCTTGCTGCCTCTGGGCATGCGCTTGGCTGGTATTATCTGAATAAAGGTATTTTGGATCTACAAGCCTTCTCCGTCGGGTACAGGCAGGCACTCAGCTTCTCTGGCTTCAGGGTGGTTTGTCTGCACAGCTACTTTACATGTAGGAGGCCAGACCAGGTGATCGCTGCAAATGTCAGGGAAGCCAGTGACCTTGCTAGGGAGCTGTGAACACCCATTGTGGGGAAGGAGTGTAGGGAATGCACCAGACCCTTTCCCGCAGGCAGAACTGCAGCAGATGGAGACTGAGCATCTGAGGCTGGAGCTGCAGATGGTGGAGACGGAGCGGGTACGACTGTCGCTGCTAGAGGAGAAGCTGGTGGATGTGCTACAGCTCCTGCAGAGGCTCCGGGACCTGGTGGGGACCCACGGGGGTGGGGGGAGGGGGTTCCTGGAGGAAAGGGAGGCTGGGGTGGGCTGGGAGATCCAGAGGAAGGAGACGGTGAGAAGGACCAAGGAGAGTCTATAAGGGATCTGAGGGCGACACTGTGGGGAGCCAGGGGAGGCTGTGGAGGAGCCTATATGGCAGGCCAGGTCTCTGGCTCCCTAGTCAGCAGAGAGGAGAGGATATCCCAGACCATGCCAGGAGTCTGATATAACTGTAATCAAAGCCTAGAGCTGTCTAGTGAGATGACTTACTGGGTAAAGCCATGTGCTGCGTAAGCCTGGTGACCTGGGTTTCATCTTTAGAAGAAAACAGAACACATAATGTTGTTCTCTGACCTCCATACATGTGTCACGGCATGCATGCCCACATATATGCATACGCATACAATAATAATAAATATTTTTTTTGGTTTTTGGAGACAGGGTTTCTCTGTAGCTTTGGAGCCTGTCCTGGAACTCACTATGTAGACCAGGTTACCGGGAATATGGGCTGCCCTGGGTCACACAGCCACATAGCCAAGCAGACAAAGAGCTGGGAATGAGCCCAAGACCAGCTGAGGCCTGGCCAAGCCCCAAAAGCAGTGTGTTTTCTTTGTTTGGGTTTGTTTGTTTTCGAGAGAGGATCTCACTATAGCCCAGGCTAGCCTGGAAATCTTGGTCCTGCTTCCACCTCCTGAGTGCTAGGATTACAGGTGTGGCTGAAGGAGAAGGCTTGTAGACTCAAAATACCTTTATTCAAATAAATATCAGCCAAGCGTAAGCCAGAACATGCCCAGAGGCAGCAAGGCAGGGAGGCCAGAGAGAAGGGGTCCCCACGTGTCTGCAGCCCTTTAAGAACCTAACAGGCATCATCCTGACCTCCCCTTGACCACGTCCTGACGGGCATGGTCAAGCACACCTGTAGCCAGTCCTTAGGAGGCGTGGTTACGGTGTCTCCCTACACGTGGCCCTCTTTCTCTCTGGTTCTCTCTTTCTATACTGCCTTTACATTGCTTAGATGTACATAATAACTTGTGTTCAGACAAGCAAGTGCTTAGCACTTAGTCACCATTTTCCCTGGGTGCATCTGCCCTGGTCTTTGGTGGATTGGAGCCTGCACACTGCTCCACCCCACTCACTGAGAGTCTGTGAGAAGCCAGTGTGGCCAGCCTCAGGGGTGGGAGGCAGGGAGGGAGTACAGGGTAGGAAGACAAGAAGAGGGGATGGGAAATGAAGGTGGGGCAGGAATGAAGAATAAGGGCAGAAAGAGATGACAGAAGGGGCAGTGGGGAGACCAGGAGGGACAAAAAGGAAGGAGGGGGGCAGGAGGGTGAAAATGGGGGACAAGAAGCAGGGATGGGGGCAGAAAGGGCAATGGGGCAGGAAGGGGGATGGGGACAGGAAAGGGGGATGGGACAGGAAGGGGGGATGGGGCAGGAGGGCAGAAAGAGGAACGTGGAGAGGGGATGAGGAACCAGCCCCAAGGAGCTTCGAGGAAGCTTCCAGGAGTCTCTACACTCCACCCGCTGGGTGGGACACAATCTGATCCAACCTCTCTTGTCTCTCTCGAAGAACATATCAAAAAGAGCCCTGGGGAAGATTTTGCTGAATGCCCTGGACCGGAATCCCTCACAGGGTAGGCAAGGGTGCCTTGCAGAGATTGGATGGCAGCTGTAGGGTATCTGGGCCTAAACTCCAGCACCGTCCTAAGCTCCGGTCTGCAGAACAGCCACTCTGCTCCCACCCCGAATGCTGCAGGTCATAGTCCAAGCAGACTTCAGAGCAGAACAGAGCTGCAGAGGCCACAGGCAGCTATGACAACTAGAAGTAGGCATGGGCACAGAAGACAAAGATGGGGTTGCCTGCTGGCAAATCAGACTGCACTGCTCACTGAGCCTTCTATGGGCTAGGCCCGAGGCCCACAGTGCCTCTATGCTTTAAATCCCGCTGGCTCTGACAGCTGACCTATGGAAAGGAGTTACCCCATCATACAGTCAAGAACTAGCCAGCCAAGTGCCTGGGATTCACCTAAAGCCCCAGGTCCTGTGGCCCCTGCTGCTTGGCAAAGCTGAGAGCAGCAGAGCTTCACCAGCTGTGTCCCCTGCAGCTGACCCTGCCTCAAGGGAGACCAATAGCTGAGCCTTCTCCTGCTGGCATGATCTTAAAACAGTCTATTATCAGTGGAGACAAGGAGTATCAAGGACAGTGGTTCTCAACCTTCCTAACCCTGTGACCCTTTAATACAGTTTCTTATGTTGTGGTGACCCCCCCCCAACCGTAAAATTATTTCATTGCTACTTCACAACTGTAATTTTGCTACTGTTATGAATCATGATGTAAATAGCTAACATGCAGGATATCTGATATGTGACCCCTGTGAAAAGATTGTTTGACCCCAGAGGTTGTGACCCATCAGTTGAGAACCACTAGTCTAGGCGTTAAAAAGGAACTTAAGGGACAGGGCTGGGCAGTGGTAGGCAAGTGGAAGAGAGAAGTGACTCTGTGGACAAGATAAGGAAATCTACCCTTTTCTTTCTCCCCAGAGGGTACACATGGCACCTTGGCCATCCTGGACACCTTGCACCAAGCCTTGGTTGGCTGTGAGCTCCTGCAGAGAAATCCCTCAGCACCAGCGTCCACAGCTGCCGCACACACGAACCCCTTCCTCATCTCCTGCTGAGCTCGCTGGTCCAGTCATGGGCCACCATGGTCATTCCAACCATCATCAGACCAGCCTTGACCACAACCAGACTTGCCTCCATGGTCAATCTGACCACCATGGAACTAGCATTGGCAGTCACTGGTCCAACCTTCACAGACTGACCGCCATCACAGTAGCCTCCTCAGTCATCCTCAGCACTGTCAGTCCAGCCTCCATGGTCAGCTTGGCCACTGTTGGACTGTCTTCCACCCTCTGAACATTCTCCACAAATGGTTTGACTCTTGTCACTTCCTCAGAACTCTGGCAGCCAAGGCTCCTTCCCAAACTGGGTCTAGCAGCTACTCCTCTCTTGGGCCTCTCACATTCTCACAGAACCCCCACACTGAAACCCTACGGTTGAAAGATCAGCCTCAACCTGAGGATGCTGCCCTTATGCTGGGCCCAGTACACAGTACATTCCAGAATCTCTGCCCTGCTTGCTCCAGCTGACTGATCTGTGTTATTTGGCCTGCTCAAGAAGGGCCAGTTCTGCACCCTGATCAGGCTAGATGTGTCCAGAACTTAGTGTGGACAAATGTGCAAGGAAAGACTACGGGGACCAGGCACTTTGGCAAGTCTAGCTCTGCTATGACTTCACAGGAAAGATAGAAGATAGAAATGCTTCCAGGAGGAAGAGGCACATGACCAGTGTGGAGTATAACTAGTACATCCTGGGTTTTGTTTTTCTGGATGTCCCAGCACTGCACGAGCTCCCCCACCAAGCACACCCTTGACCTCATTCTGTTCTTTTCAACAAGCTGTCCTTTCGCTGGAGCATGACAGGCACAGGTTGCATTAGAGACTTCACAAACTGAGAGAAGGAACATTCCTGCAGCCAGATTCCCCAGAGCTGGCCTGTCACAGCCAAGTGAGGGGAAACCAGAAACAAATTCAGGCCCACTAAAACAGCCATGGTCATAGGCACTGTATTTAGTTCTGTTGTTTTACATTCTTTGAGGAACATCTCCCTATGTTGCTTAGGCTGGTCTCAGACTCCTGGGTTCAAGCAATCCTCATGCCTCCCAAGTACCTGGGACAATAGACTATAGTACCATACCCAGCTAGCTAATCCTGATATGACAGAACACCTACCCCCCAAACACACACTTTTGATTACCATGTCACTAAAGGCTCAGCTCCTGGAATTCCTTATCCAGCACATGGAGTCAGCCTTTAGCAGAAGATGATCAAACTGAAGAGATAGTCATCCCTGGTTGTCTCAGCAAGTCAGGAAGCATCAGACTGGGAATTTGAAACAACCAGTTACCCAGAAGCTCTAATGGAAGAGTCCAGCAGCATATAGACCAGGGAGTAGCAAGCAGAAGATGTGTGTTCCATGAAAGAGTCAGGAATTGCTAGGAATCATACCAGCCGAACAGAATGAAGAACATTCTGGTAGGCTCAGAGATAGCTGTACAGAGATGAGGAGAGCCTAAGGATATGTCCTACAAATTTCTAAAGATGAAAAGACTAGGAACGGAAAGCAGAAAATACAAGAATTGTTGGGCAACTACAACATGTGTTTAAAAAATAAGGGGAAAAAAACAAACACAAACAACAGTTAAAGCAATAATGACTTTGAATTTCCCAAAACTTCTATCAGATGCCAAAGCACAGATCCAGAAGACTCAAAGAGCACAAGCAAAATAAATACAAAAAGAAAAAGAAAAATGACATCGGAGCCAGGCATGGTGATGCACACCTGTAATCCCATCACTTGGGAGGCTGAGGCGGGATAATCAGGATTTTACAGCCAGCCCGAGCTAGATAGTGAGAGGCTGTCTCAAAAATGACAACAGGAAGAAGAAAAGAGTGAAACCCTGAGGTGGAGGAGAGAAAGCAGCCTAGCTTTCATTGTACTTTGCAAAATTACCCTTGAAATTGAAGATTCTCAAACAAAACTCATTTGGGATTGCAAGAAATAAAATGAAGTTTTTTGGAGAGAGGGAAATAAGACCAAAAATTTGGATTTATGTAAAGCAAGAAAAAGCACAAAAGAAAGGATAAGCTAAAGTAGAAAAAACCGTTTATTCTCTTTTATTTTCTTGTCTAAAAGACAACAGTTTGCATCATATTCAGCTTTTGTGAGTGAAATGCCCAGCCCAGATCCAAGGTAGAGAAGGAACTAGGAACACTTTGCTATTGTGGAGTCTGGGAAGCTTTGCTGCCCGTTAGGCAGTACAGTTATTGAAAGTGGACTTGGAGTAGTTGTAGATGGGTGCTGTGGATGTTAGGATAGACACTAGGAAAAGAGAGAAAGTGATATTATATAAAATACTTAAAACCACAAATGGCAGACTACAAGCGAAGACAAAACAAGTGATTAAACCTAAGCAGGCCTGGAAGACATCAGCTCTCTGTCAGCACCACCCCCAAATATTAGTGGTCTCATTACAATAACCAAAATACAAGGATCCTCAGACCAAAGGACATGTTGTCTGCAAGAATCCACTGTAGGAGGCTAGAGAGATGGCTCGGCAGATAAGAGCACTTACTTCTCTTGCAGAGGACCTGGGTTCAATTCCCAGTACCCACAAGACCACTCCCAACCTCCTATAACTCCTATTCCAGATGATCTGATTGCACTCTTTTGGCTCTGTGTACATGCATATGGTACACAAACATACACTCTAGCAATGCACATAAAAAGAAATCTACTTTAGATACAGACACCTGTATTAAAGTGAAGGAAGGGGTGAAGGAAGATTCTACTATGCAAGAGTAATCAGAAGAAAGCCTACTTCACTATATTCATCAAACAGAGCAGATTCCAAGGCAAGAGAAAGCATCAGGAGTGAAAGGGGGCATCGCATGGTGTCAAGGGTGTAGGCTCACCAAGAAAATAATGTGTGTACCTAGCAACAGCCACAAACAATCTGAGATGAAATACAAAGCCAGGCATAGTGACCACACACCTTTTATCACAGGACTCAGGAGGCAGAGGCACACAGATCTCCGAGTTCAAAGCCAGCCCGGTCTACTGGCTCAAAATATATATTACATAGAACTTCAAGAAACAGATGAGTCCACTATTACAGTTGCAGACTTCAACATACTTCTATAAGAAATGGATACACCCAGCAGGTGTGACATTAGCAAAGCCGAACACACCAGAACCAACAACCAAAAGGATCCAGTGACACAAACTACTCATCCCACAATTGCACAAATGCATTCTCTTCAAGCTCGGACAGTGGTCTCAATGTTTTGGCCACAAACGCACTTAACTAATTAAACATGGAGACCAGGCAGCTCTCTCAAGAGACAGCAAAATTAAACTCACAACAGAAAGACACCGTGGAAATCATAAATGCTTAGAGACTGAAATTAACATATTTCTACATTAACTACAGATGAAAGAAGAGTTTTCTAGAGTAATTTTAAAACACTTTTAACTAAATGAAAATGGAAATATACTGCATCAGAACAGATGGGACACAGCAAGGGCAGCATGGGATTGGACAGATTAGCAAAAATGAAAGATCCAAAATCACAGGAAGCTATAAAATGAAAAGCAAATTTCAAGACCAACCTGTTCAGTATATCCCAATTTGATCTAAAGAATCAATCCAAAGCATACAGATGAAAAAGAATAAAAATTAGAGCAGAAATCAGACTCAAAATAGGAAATCAGAAAAGAAAATCAACAAAGCCAAAACTGGTTCTTGGAAAAGATTTGCAAAAGTGGTTAATAAAAGTTCCTTGCTGGGGCTGGAGAGATGGCTCAGCAGTTAGGAGCACTGGCTGCTCTTCCAGAGGACCTGGCTTTGATTCCCAGCACCCACATGGAGCTCACAACTGTCTGTAACTCCAGTTCCAGGGAATCTGGCAGGAATGCACATAAAATAAATAAATTATTTTTTAAGTTTAAAATATTTATTTTTAAAAGAAGCTTCTCCCCAGACTAATCAAAGAGAAAACAGAAGAGACAACTTCTTAATACCAGCAGTGAAAGAGTAATGTCGTTACAGATCTCAACAGCACCAAAAGGATTTTAAGTGTAACTGTGAATAAGCCTTGTGAGCCAATAAACGCATAAAAACTTGAAAAACACATAAAAGCCACACACAAAGAAACAAGACAATCTGATATAGTTAATAATTGGATAATATAGTTAATAATTAACAAAACAAAAATAACAGGCCCAGGACAGGTTCTCCAGTACATTCTGTGCCAAACTGTAAGAAAAATGCTGTAGGAATCATCTGCTCTCTTCCAGAAAACAGAAGCAGGCCTTCTTTGCAGCCCCTTCTGTAAGGCCAGGATTACCATCATGCCAGTGAGTATCTCAAACAAACAAACAAAAAATGACAGAGCAAAAAGACTCGTAAGTACAGGGTCAAAAATCTTCAGCAAAATATGAGCAAGTCACAGGCAACAGTGTGGGCTGGAGATAACTATTTGTCCTTCACTTGGGACCTAGTTCGATCTCCAGCACACATACAAAAACCAAGAATTGCTCACCTTACCAGTGGAACCGACACACTGTTGTATGGGAAGGAGGCTGGAGACCATGTTCTCTTTGATGTCCTTACAGAGTGGGGGCAGGGCTGATACTCAGTACTGCTTGAGCTTGCAGAGCCTTGCTGGCTTTTCCCTCACCCAGTGTGCAGAGACCTTGAACATGGACCGGATGTGAGTACATGCCTAATGCTCCTAGCCAAGTACAAAATTCAGGGCGAGATGACCCCAGAAGATCATGGGACTCCCCGGATGCAGACCTCGGTCAGAGCCAGCGCATTAGTTGTGAGTGGCAGAAAACAATGGGCCTTGCCTCACATCCACACCTCGGTGACAAGGACCCTACCCAGTTCCACACAGCTCAACAGCGGAGCCCAGCGTGCCTGCCCATGGGCCAGAGTCCAACCACTCGATCAGCCCAGGGACCTTTACAGACCTCTAGCCCGAGCTCGAGGCCTGAGATGCTCGGACAGGAAAGTGAAAGGGGAAGGTGCTACACAAGAGATGCCCATTGTGTTCTGAGCTGATGGCGGAGGCCACGCCTCCAAAGAGCCGCTGTCATGGAAACCCGTGTCTCCTTGAGCCAAAAGCAGTATTCATGAATGATTCCACTAAAAAAGAGCTTCCCCTGACACTTGAACCCAAAAATTTGATTAAAAAAAAAAAAGTTAGTGGATATTGTGTTCCAGAACCCTGACCTAAAGTTCCCTTTATTTCCTGTGACCTGGGGATCACTACGCACCAATTATCTCCTTGGTCTGCTACTCAATAAAACTGCTCTCTCTTTTTTTTTTAGTTGAAAAAAATTTTAATAGGCAATTTAATTTTTAATCCATATTAATAAGGTTTTCCATGTATGTATGAGAATACAACTTATAGCCAAACATTAATTCACATTTTTTCAATTACTTTACAAACCATGTATTGCTGAGAACATTCCAGGCCTGAGGCATGATAAACAAGTAGGCAGGAGTCACATGACTAAAGCGTGGAAGCAAGTGAAATTCAATAACTATACTCTAGCTGCACGTTTAGACCTCTAAAGTTATTTATAAATAAATTGTTTGGTACAATAAATAATAGCAAACAAAGAATGTAGAAGGTCTAAAAAGGCACAAAATCAATACTAATGACATGAAGATAATTACTTTTATATCAATACAGATCAATTTCTCATTCAGCAACTTAGAAAAATAAAGCCAGTGTTTCCTACTTTTTCATACACAAAAGCAAAGTAATGGTTGGAGCATATGAAAAGTTATACTAAATACATCTTAGAAAAGAAGACAAATGAATTTGTCAGTCCTTTTCACATGCAGCATGTAAATACATTAACTTAAACTCATTGCATTATTTTATAGTACCCTTGTATAAACTAATTTTATCAGGTAGCCAAAGTTCTATTAAGTGTTCTAAAATTCTTTTTTCAATGTGAAAATCTAAGATTTCTTTGAAAAACAACTTTAGACAATGTATTCTGATCATGCATTTCTCCTCCCTCAGCTCCGCCCAGACCCTTTCCACCCACCATCTCTGCATCCTTTCTCTCTTAAAAAAAAAATTAAATAATGCAAAGAAACAAAAAAAATCAAGAAACACACACAAACCCACAAAAATGGAAACCAAAATATATAAGCAAAAGAACAATATGACAAAAAATGCCCAAACAAAACAATATGAGATAAAAAGTCTGCAAAAATACCATTGAGTTTGTTCTTTTTTTGTCTGGCCACTACTGCTGGGCATGGGGTCTATCCTGAAGTATGAATAATATCCAATTGAGTGAGACTCAATTGGAGATAATTAAATTTTCCTTTGCAATCAGGTGTTGATTGCAGACAGCTTCATGGTTAGGGGTGGGAGCCCATGTCTACTTCCCCCTCTCAGTGCTGGGACCCCTTCTGAAAACTGCCTTCTTCTTGTAGAGGCCTTGTAATTATTTGATTGAAGATTTCTTGATCTCAATGATAGGTACCTGGTTAGCATAAGTGAAGTCGTAGGTTCCATCTCAGTGTCGAAAGAAAAAAAAGACTCTTCTAAGCATGTCACAAAGTCTTTGGCACATTGCCTCCAGAATGAAATACCTAATTCCTTCCTTTAAAAGTGAGCAAGAGTGGTGGTTTGAAAGGAAACAGTCCCCATAAGGAGTGGTGCAATTAGGAGATGGGCTTTGTTGGAGTAGGTGTGGCCTTGGAGAAAGTGTGTCACTGTGGAGGTGGACTTAGAGATCTCATATGTTCAAGCTACGCCCAGTGTGACACACAGTTGCTTCTGTTGTCTGTGGACCAAGATGTAGAACTCTTGGCTTCTTCTCCAGCACCATGTCTGCCTGCACACCACCATGACACACCACAATGATAATGGACTAAACCTCTGAACTGTAAGCCAGTTCCAATTAAATGTTTTCCTTTATAAGAGTTGTCATGGTCATGGTGTCTCTTCACAGAAATAAAACCCTAAGACAGCAAGACTGTCAGGTATAAGTCATACCTGACAGTGTGTGATGAGAGCTGCTAGTAGGAACACAGACTCAGCAACACCGTGTGGGGGTACTTTCCTTGCTGTCTTTTGGCCACTGTGTCCTGAGTACATCCAAGCATCCCTGTCCAGAGGGCCTTGAGCCATCCTAGTCTGTCAATACCTATAGCACGAATAATAAAAACCCAGAGAAAGATATAGGAGTCCAAGCTGAAGATCAGAGAAGCAAAGTGGCCAGCCACTAGAGAGCTCTCACCTCTACCAAAGCTCAGACCGAAGGGGCGATCCACCAAACCTCAGACTGCACTGCTCTCCACCAAGTCTCAGAATCCGAGACTGCTTTCTGAGACTGCTTCTATTAAAGGCCTGAGCTCTGTTTCTCTTTTAGACTGATTCATTCACTCTAATGTGGCCCTGGGTGTCCTTGAACTCACAGAGATCCATCTGCTTCTATCTCCTGAGTCCTGGGATTACAGGTGTGTGCCACCACTGCACAGCTTCTATAGCTAACTAGTGTGGTTGGCTTTGCATTCTGATCCTTCAGGCAATCTTTATTAAATCATAAATAATACATCACCACAATTACTCAGCAAGGAATGAAGGACTCTAGCCATCAGCCTGAGCACACATCTCTGAAGCAATTCCACCACTTTCAGTGGTGACAACCCCAGTTTCATCCCTGCTGAGATACCAACTGTAACATCTAGAACTCTCCAGCTGAGACAAGCATTTCTGACCTACAAAAAGCAAACAAATGTTTCTATGAAGCTGTTGTGGTAAAGTCATGCTTCATTAACAAGCACGGTGGGGAGAGAGACCTGACAGTGATCTCTAGGCAAGTTAAAAGCATGGAGCCAGCTGATGGGCACACATAAGCAAAAAGATACTGGGAGAGGAATAATGTATGCTACACTCCTACCCAGGCTTCACACTTCTAGTTCACATCAGAGACTATACACCTTGGCCAAAGGTTGAGCAGGAATAGGTTTAGGATGCAGGGGACAGGCAATAGCGAGGCAGGAAGGGGGACCATGGGAACACTGAGGCAGGCTCCAGATGCCCACCCCATACATACACAGTGCCTTACCACTTAGAAAACATAATTCAAAGATGAACTTGTTTCAAATTAAAAAAGAAAAAACTACCCAGAACTTGAGACACCCAGTGTAGCGAGCCCTTGAATAGAAAGACAGGAGCAGCATATTGGTTAGCTTGGTGAGACCAGGGCAGGGAGCAGATGATTCCACAATAGTTTGGGGAAACACACACAAGTATGTGAGAACAGATGTCCTGTCTCCCCCTTTTCTTTTTCTAGAAACTCTTCTTTGGAATTTTGGAATTGTACTAAGTGTCTGTAACTCATTAGAAATGTTTTCTGGGAAATTCTAACCAATGTCCTTCTTTCACCTTCTGGCAAAAATACTCCCTTGACCTTAAATTTCTTCCCTCCCCTGATACCCCCCCCCCCAGCTAAGAGAAAGCAAATCTACACTGTCACCACTAGGTGGGGAACACACTCAGAGGATGGAAGTACAGAGGGCAAGCTTTCCAGCTCTCCCAGCCTGAGGTGGGAGTTCAAGTTCAACCCAGAGGGCCTTAGGACACATGCCACTCCTTTTTTTCTTAGAACCTGCTCTATTTTTAAACTTATACATCTATAAGCTTGTAAATTTATACTGTTTTGTTTTTTGAGATGGATCTCGCTTTGTAATCCAGGTGAATTACAAATCCCAATCCCCCTGCCTCAGCTTCCTGAGTTCTATGATTATAGGTGTGTCTATCCATTTTCTCTGAATTGAACACATTCCCTATGGAGAAAAACAGAGG